CCTTCAAACATTTGGATAGAGTGTCGGTGCATCAGATGGTGGCTAATATACTTGCATATGTCTATAAATTGGAAAATTTTTGTTCTTGTAAAAACAACTTTTTCAGTGGTATTTTTGTTTTTAAAAAGGAGAATAGTGATTTGTCGGAGAAGATGACTATTAAATTGATTTTCTGGTTAACAACTCATCAGTATTATGTGAAAGCTAATACAGATGGAAACTACAAGTGGAATTTGGCTGGTGCTGGGGTGATATTTAGGGATTTTCAGGGAAAATGTTTGCTTTTTTTTTGCTTCCCAATGTGTGGTTGGTTGTTCATTGGAGGCTGAATTATGAGCTGTGATGTTAGCAGTCAAATTGGTTGCTTGTGCTAACTGGTATTTGCTGCAAGTGGAAGTGGACTCAGCCGATTTGCTGGTCTATCTTAAAGGCAGGAAGGTAGCAACATGGAATCTTGCAGTATGCTTAAGTAAGATTACTAAGATTATTGCTAATTTTAACATAATGTGGAGTTTTGTGTATAGGGAAGGGAACAAGCCTGCTCATTGGTTGGCTAGAGAGGGTGCAATGGTTGTTGAAGCAACTGTAGGGAGAAAGCCTCCTAGAGATTGGTTCATGGAGACAACATGGGGATACCATACCTGAGAAGATAAAAATCTTTTCATTATACAATTCGTTTTGGTTTTGTTGGATATTAGGTCATTGGTGGAGTGAGTCGTAATCTGTTGGAGGTCTGTTGGAGGTGGAACTTTAGGTTTTCTAGTTGTGTGAGTTGTATTTTGGGTTATAGTAGGATCTACCTCCAATTTTTGTAAGTTTTATCTGATATCAATAAAATTTCATACGGGGTTCTCCAATATATATATATATATTAAAAAAATGATCGTAGGCTATATACGAGCCCCGAGCCACCCTTATTTGCCTAACTATTTGAGGACCGCCCTCACTACTGGCAAACTGGCCAGAGGGGGTTCGAACCGTGACCTGAGGGGACTTATGACCTTCAGTGGCTGCTCTACTAACAGGTCACGGCTTGCGCCACACATATACTATAAATATGTAATAGCTTTGCAGTAGAATACAAACTTGATTTTTTTAATATTTGAGTGTTAATTATATGGAATGTAAAAATTAAAAATTGGTGAATCTCTTATTTATGCAGATTGTGATGAGTCTTCTGATATAATTTCCTCTTTAATATTTAATATCATTCTTATGATTAATATTGATTATCTTATATATTCATGTTTTTACTTAAATTTGTCATGGGTGCCTTACCATCTCTCCTAGAGAGTGCGTGAGAAGAGTTGTGATTTTTTGCGAGAGATGAAGAATGTGGTGGATGTGCTAGAAGTTAGAGATTAGAAAGACATCGAAAAGGAATGAGAGTAATACCGGCGTTAACTAATTAACAAAGGAATTTTGATATTGAGATCAAATAGGGGTTACAACAAACACACACAAAGATAAGAAATAACAAGTAACACAACACAAATGCCAATCTAGGGCTTAGGTTAAGGGTGATGGGAAGGTTGTGGTAGGGTGGTTGTGGTTGGGGAAATATGATGGTTGGGATGGGGAGCTAACAATACAGTAATGAGGTGGCTGGTGGCGTGGCTACAACAAGGAAGGGGATGACTGGCGATCAGACTGCGATAAGTATCGAGAAGGTTGCAATTGGGTTACAACATGGAAGGGGAGATGGCTGGCGGCTGGCGGCTGGGCGGCTGGATTGCAACAAGGAAGGAGAAGACTCGTGGTAAGATTGTAGCAAACAACAAGATGGGAGATTGCAACAAGGAAGGAGAAGGCTCGTGGTAAGATTGTAGCAAACAACAAGATGGGAGGAGGCTGGGTGTTAGGCGGCTGCAGGAAATCAATGAGGTGGATGCTTCCAGGTGGCTACAACGAGTACGACGACGGTGGAAGTAGTAGGAAGGTTGCAGAAGAAATAGGAAGGTCGAGGATAATCACCATCTTGGAAAAGATATAGTCGGAGCACCACCCATTATTAGATACAACTCTAGAAGGGAAAACATGGTTGTTGACGAATGTCCTGACAAAAAACACAAAGAAAAACTCCCTTAACACACATGAACACCATATAAATACTACTATGGTAGCTAAGGGTGGAGTCTGCTGAGTTAGACGGTAATTTGCAAGCACGGAAAGGTTCGACTGACACCCTCCTCTTTTCTGTTGAACCGATTCATGCAAGACTGAACAGGTCCAGGTAGCCTACAGTTGGCGCATCCCGCACGCTATGCGGGAGACATCCCTGCGTCAGTCTCTTGGGGTTGGAGGAGCTTTAAACTCATTCTTTGAAGCTTCTGTTTCCTCGTAGTATGAAAGTTAAGTCTACCACGTTGAAGGTAACATAAATGTTATAATTCTCCTATAAGTCAATCTTGTATGCGTTGTCATTCAATTTTTTTAGAATCCAAAGAGGCTAATCTGTTATGGCTGAGTTTTCTGAATGATCCCATGAAAAATCTCTCTTTCTTTTGTCTGATCCACACTAGATATTTTCATGAAAAGTCGCATTCTTCTTTGTTTTATTAGCTTGCGTTGGTACTTATGGTTCTGCTTGGTGTTCTCTCTCCCAATCTCTTCGTGTAGCTTTTGAATCTCCTGTAACCTTGATTCAACATCCACGCTAACCTATGATGTAGGAAGAAGTGGTACCAACTCTAGTGGAGTGAGCGGATTGCGCTCATACACAACCTCGAAGGGGGTGCGTTCCGTAATCTGAATCATGGATTTATTGTAAGCGAATTCAGCTTAGGCTATAATAAAATCCCACTGCTTTATAAAGCAACTCAGGTGATTCCCTAGACTCTCATTGTAATGCCTCGTTTCAAGGGAAATTGAGGGAGTTGAAGAGTGGAAGAAGTGAGCAGTCAGAAACATGAATGGGTGATTTGTTCTATAAATTGACGCATATTAAGGGAGGCTAAGGCAAGATCAAGAGCGGGAGAAGAAGGTGAAGTCATGTGGTTATTTTGACGGAGATTCGATTCTAATTGAAATGTCGAAGACTCAGGCTTGAAGGACGAAGATGGTTGAATGTGTGTTGGGCAAGCGTTTGTGCTCTTGACAAACTGAAGACGTCGATACCAAGTGGAGGTACCGTGAAGAAGAAGTCGGGCCAAAACCTAACCAAATTTTTTAGAGGAAGGGGCTCTCGTGTGCGGCAGTGAAGGCGATTCGTGCAGCTAGGCTTGTGAGCTTGCGTGCTTGAAAAAGACTTGTGTGTGCATCTTGTGCGCTCGAGAAGGAGGGAGACAACACCACTTGCTGGAAGAAAGAATCGAGCGATCCTTCCCTGTGATTTGTGCTGGCGAAGGAACTAGCAAGCTTAAACTTGGGAATGGGGAAGACAAGCGTATTGTCTAAGCCGAAGACATTAAAGCAGAGGAAGAAGGGAGCGGCTGCGTGGGTTATTCGAGTAATTATAAGGTAAAGATTTTAATAATTTTAATTTATGAATTTAGAATATTATAAATTATTAATTATTAATAGTAGGATTAATTAAATCAAGATTCAAAGTATAGAAGTTTCACTTTTGAAATGAGAAAAGGGTGGTGAAAGCAAAGAAAGGTTAGGGTTTGATTTTTTTTAAGTTTTATTTGTTTATTAAATCTATGAACTAATGTTGCATATAAGGATATCAAAGAAATTAATAATAATAATAATAATAATAATATAAATGTATGTATATTTATATAAATTTTAAAGCCTAATTGAAATGATATAAATCACATAAAATAACTAGAAAGTTAAATTAGGAGGAACAACTTTTTTATCGTCAATATTTTGAGTTTAAATTGTTTGAAAGAAATAATGAAATTTATATTATGAAATGAAGATAATAATTAGCATAATAATAATAAAATAATAATTATTATGTGAAACATCAATGGTAAAATAAAGACATTGTCTGCTAATTATAATATTGGCATATAATAAATTAATAATAATTCTTTATGCATTAAGTTTTCATTGGAGATTAGTGAAGAGAACGTTTGATAACAGAATCATCACTGATTGAGGTAAGTACTCATAGTCTTAAATTATAACATTATTTTTATCTCTTCTGAACTAGTTGTGTGAATTGTTATTCATATTTGTTTCTGAAATTGATTTCTATATTATTAGATTCTGAAATTGATTTCTATATTATTAGATATTATCAGTCATTTCAATATGAATACTTTAATTCTACATTATGAACTGTTTTTTGCGTTATAATAATAAATGTGACATATTGAGTGATATAAATTTTTTAATGATATGAACTGTATAGATTGTTGTATGTGTATGCTTCACTATGATGGAATTATCCATTTATAGTACTAGCGGGGGAACGCTAAGGTACCCCGTGCACGTAAATAAAAATTGATATTGATATTGAAGTACCTTAACTTGCTTAATTTTTAAACTGTGCTCATGTGATAGTTGTACAAATATAAAATGATATCGACATGTCACTGGTTTAGTAAAACACTGAATATTATGGAATATTATGATCGAAAAATTATCAAATGCTTTCGTAATATGCATATTGTTTTCTTTTCCATTTTGTTACTATAGCATCAGAGTGAGTATTTACTAGTTGTGTTTAGCTTTCTGTTTTAAACTTGTATTTTATGTTTAATTAAGTGATTTAAAAGAGGAGCAATAAATAAAAGAAATGTTTATAGAAGATGCAAACAATCAGTAATGTGGTATATTTAGTTGTACTTATTTTAAATTACTTTCTTTAGTGGCTCTTTCATTAATTTAAATGTTATTTATTGAAAATGAATATAAAAAGTTTTAATTTCTACCGTCCGACAGTCTGTTCCTACCTTGATTTACACACTGTATATTTGTAGCCTGGCTTTTTCATTAAGATCCTTTTACTTTCATCCAAGAGACAAAGGGCATGCTTTCATTTTTTTTTTCTCTGTTTAATTTCTGTCTTGCTGGCGACTAATATTGATTTTTTTTTTTTGTAGGTGTCCGGGCTTGGTTGAGCGGTTTGAGCTTTTCATTTATGGCCGTGAACTTGCAAATTCATTTTCTGAGCTGACAGATCCGATTGACCAGGTATAATCCATATTTCTTTATTTAACAGTTGTTCCCCTCAGTTTAAAACCAGGTTTTAATCATTTATAGGCGTCATCTTTGTTGCATCCAACATAACCGTATGCATCGAAAGAAATACTTTATTGTCAGATAAATTTTTCGTTCAAATTACTTTAAGCGAGATACTTAGATTGTCATTAACTCAATGAGGCTAGGATTATGTCACCATATTCATATTCATATTAAGGATTTCAAAATCAGAATGGACGAACTGAAAAAATAATAATAATAAGGAGATTCGATGTTGAAAGATTCAATTAAGATTGGACCGGAAGAATAAATAATGAAACTGTTTTAATGGGAATTAAGTCATATTTTTACTAATTCAATATATAATATTTTAAATTTAGACACTTCATAATTAAATGTCTTTAAAATTTTGAGACGTGGTTTCTTTATCCTCTTAACCATGCGCTTTATATTATTATACATTTATACAGATGCTTGCAAAATTTTCTGCAGTACTATCAGTATATTGGAATGTGAGCGATAACCAAATTTAAAAGAGAATTTCACCAATCATTCTTCCTATTTTTATGAGAGATCATCAACTTAGAAGAGTTTTGTAGTTAAGAAATTAGAGTATTTAAATTGTAGTAGTTTTCTAAACTAAATCTGTTATTTTCAGCCTTTTGATCAAAAGAAAAAAAATGTCATAAACCGATCAATATTAAAAGCATGCTTTTCCTCAACCAGTTCAATAATTCCCAGGTTTAACCACTGTTTTTGACTGATTATGTCTCGTCATGTGCGAAAATTGGGACTGCATTGAAATGTTTGGAGGTCCGGTTCATGACCGAACCAGTCGAACCAATCAGTTCTGTTCAGTTTTTATGAACATAATTCATATCTTCCTTGTCAATTCATTTATTCATTTGCATACAGTGTTATTCATCTTCTATCGGTTGGATGGTATTTTCCAAAAAATATTTTCTCAGATGTAGTCTGACACTTGTAGGAACCTTTTGTGTTTCTATTTAATGTGATAGAAAACTCGTCTTATGGGGCAAATAGAACAACATAATAAAAGGCGGGCGGCATTTGCTGACCAGAAAAGGGAGAATGATGATTATTCATATGACGTCTCTCTTGATGAAGACTTCATAACTGCGTTAGAATATGGCATGCCACCAGCTTCAGGAATGGTATGATTTTCATCTATTTATTCTCTAAGTTTGTCTTACTGCATTTATTATTTCGTCTGATTCTCATTTCAATTAATTTAAATATGTAGTCATCAGTTTGCTACTTTTTAGTAACTTGAACTCTGAACTAATTTCTTATTTCCTTAGACGTTTCTCATCGCGTAGATTCATTTTTTTTTTAATTGGCCATTACGGTAGAACATACAACTTTCCTCATAATTCTTCATTCCTTCCTTTAAAAATACAAATAGAAATAAAATCTTCAGATTAGTGATAGATTTTATAATTTTATGTTATATAGAAGAATGAAAATTTACACTGATATAAATTGTAGAGTTAAGGTTGGATGGTTAACACTGAAAAGTGCTTCAAAACTTTTGTGATAAAAGGATATTACTAAAGCGTAAAGGTAAAATTTATAAGACCACGCCAGTTCGTTTATGTATAGATTTGAATATTGGTCATAAAAGTTGTAAATATCGGAGTTGATTATATAGAAGAAATGAGAATTTTAGGATAGATACTTGATAAAACTAATATTATTAAATTAAGAATTGATTATATTAGAGAAAACGTTTGAGTGATAATACTTATCGAAGATAAAGTGATAGAAAATTGGCTTAGGTGATTTGGATATATGCAAATAAGGTAGAAAATATGTTTCATGATAAATCTAGTGTCATTGGATTAGGAAAGAAAAGAGCTAAACCTAAGGCTGAATGGATAGAAGCTATTCAAAATGCTTTGTGGAGAATAGGCTTAACATCACGGACAACGCTTCAGGTAAATTAATAAAACATGTGGATTTCTACACGTGCAATTTGCACAAAAAAATACCTGCATGTGTGCATAAATGTATTTACATGCCTGCATATATTTGTACCTTCACATGTTCATGCATGCAAGTAAAACATATATTATAAGAAGTGCTTATATACACATGCAGGTGTACGCATATCTATATATGTATGTGCATGCAAGTGCTCATGTTAAATTTAAAATGCATGACATTCAATAGTATACAAATGAGTATGTTTAGCTCTTTATGTTTATGATATTGACTGGTGCAGGCGAAGTCAAAATTGTTTTGAATTTTATTATCTTGGCCTATTAGGAAGTGAATAACTCATTTTGGAGTAAGAACCAGGGAGATAAAGTGAAAGAAGAGACGATGAATGCCTCATGAAAAATAGGGAATGGTGAAGGGAGAGAGTGAACCTCATGATTTTGAGTAAAGAGAGTAATTTACACAGATAAGATCCTAAATAAAGGGTATACTATTTGGAGAATGCTTTGCTGCTCAGCTGCTATTTAATGCGGTAATTTTGATGACAAACGATTCCAGATGCAATCCATCCAATAGATGGAGACTTATTTGGGGCACCGTTGCATGCTCATTTAAGGCACCGTTGCATGCTCAAATGTTATTCCATAATTAACATCTCCAATTAGCCTACCATGCCTACTAATATAATATTTGCCCATAACTGCTGCACCTCTCGTCCACAGTCAGGAAACAAATTTCTTTTCTTGTGCCACTTCTCCGAGCCTCCTAGTTGTATGCGTCGTATGTATTGTATTTTCCCTTTCAAGTGTGTTGATTGTAATTGTTTATTTGTTTTAGGTAATAAAATTTATTTTTTCTAATGTGATTTTGGTTAACTCGGGTATCATTTAGTATCAAAGCTAGTTTAATTCTAGTCTTATCCTAGGGTTTTCTAGTTTGCCCTTGCTTAAGTCACCTCACCTCCACCAATATTTTTCTTTCATATTCCTAAACCCTAGCCAAATTTTAACTAATCATAATTTTCCCTTGTTGATGTTCAAAATTAGCAACCCCAAATTAGTTTTCTTACATCTTCAACGAGTCTCCTACACCCTCTTTCACGTTGCAACCCTTAAGCTTAACTATGTAACCAAGGAGATACATGCCCGAGCCTATCCGGGAGGAGATAAAACGAGAGATCCACCTACTTCAAAGAGGCTTGCATATATTAAGAATGAAACATGGGGGGAGATTTCTCTCGACTGGGATCTGGAGAATCAATGGGGAGCAAGAGACGAGGATTTGAATCCCTTCCATAAGGAGGACTCTAGTGATGCATAAGAACGACCACAACACTTTGGAATCTAGATCAGAGGAGGATGAGAGAAGAGTCAGCATGTGGAGAATGAGAGAATCTAAAGATGAAGGGAGAGATTTAGCTCTAGTTCCTTCCAGCTTACTATAGACAGAAGATTCAAACTCTAGCTTCAGAAGTGGAGAGACCACTTTACCGGATGATCACCACGTCTCACAGGAAACGCTCAACCTCAAGATCTTACGGCCATATTACACCCAGGAGAATATCCAAGCTGATCCTGTCAGAATAAAAGTTGAGTCAGAGTGGAGAACAGATGGAACCAATCTGCATTTCTAAATCTGTTCCAACCAAGAAGTATTGCAAGTGTTGTGAATTTGGGCATGTTGAATTTAACTGCACAAGCAGGGGGTGATCTGTTTCACCGAGCAGGGCGTTCTTGAAAAATTGGGTAATGATATGGTAAACCTTGAAGACGGTGAGGGCACAAAGTAGGACCAGCTTCAAGTTGAAGAAATAAACAATGATCTAGAAGAAGATGCAAACTTCAGAGGGAATTCTCAATTTTTCGGCCAACGAGGAAGATGCACCATGGATTCCAGTTGACCTCGCGATAGAGATTTTAGCTGAGGTAACAGTAGTTGCTCTAGAAGGTAGTTACTCTAATGTAATGAGCATTCTGACAACTTACGAGATTATGTTGCCTCGAGCTAGCATTTTACAGCATTGAGAGGCGTATCAACAGGACTAAACTTAGATTTTCAAAGAGGCCCTGAATTTGGGGAGTCAATATCAGACACAGGATAATTCCAGATAAGAGAAATTCAGACCTTTCAGATTTATAGACTCGGCTCTGAGTTGCGGCTACTGAGGAAGGTCTCACATGTCAGAGATGAGGCCTTTTTGTGCCACGTCGAGAAATTCAAACTTTTCAATTCAGCATGTTACCCATCATCAGATGTCCAAGCAGGAGGGATGAACCCCTTTTTGAATATTTGTCTTAGGATTTTGATGGAGAAAAAAATTTTGCAATGGGATCCAAGTCCTATCACTGAAGAAGAGGGCTTTCCTGAGTGGTTGCTAGTGAGAGCAGTGCAGTTTGCCACAGATTTCAATTGAGTTGACTTCTCCTCACATCTTTTATCAGCTACATTACACTGTGTACGAGAAGTGAAAGAAGAAGGTTTCATACTTAAGAGCTTAAGAGTTATATTACGGGAACCTACATGCATATGTAGCTCCAACTTATAATGTGCCAAGAGGATGCATATTTATTTTATGAAGGTGTGTTGTGGAATGACAACACCAATATGATCGACCTCTCACGAGATTGCAACGTCACTCTTACCATCAATGTGGTAGACTTGACTCTACGCTACAAGGAATCAGAAGCTTCAGGGAATGAAGCTGAAGCTCCCCTAACCCTAGGAGATTGACGCGGGAGCTTAGGTCATGGTATTGTGGCAGCTACAATATCGTGAACCCTTTTTCCTATTTGATCCTTTTCTATTCTAGTTTAGTCCTATTCTAACTAGTAGTACTTATTATAAATACATTGTTTGATGTCCGAGTGTCAGGTTTTAGTGAGCTTTATTTCAGATTTCTGTCTAGACAGCCGTTGACGTACATTTTCCCCTTCGAGGGTTGTATCCGAGAGATAGAATAATGTTGTTGTTGTATCTCTCTCTCAAGGTGGTGATTATTTTCCTTCTATCTCATCTTCTCGCATTGCTCCTTGTCGTCATATCTAGCTCTAGCCACTTGCAACAGCATCCTGATTGTTGTTTCTACAATTTCAGCCGACCCCATCGCCTTCTCCCTGATCCTCGAACGTCTTCCCTCTGTTGTTTTCTTGTTGTCAAGTTCCTAAACAACCTTTTGTTGTTTGGGCTATCGCCCCATGTTGTGTTATTGTTTCAGCTGCCCATAACTGCTGCCACCCATCATCCACAGTCCAAAAACCCCTTCCCTAACTTGTTGCCACCTCTTTGAGTCCCTTAACCGTCACTACCATCACACTGATCCGCTCCAACACGAGTTGTGTGTTGGTTGTAACCTTTTATTTGCTTATGGTAATAATATTTATTTTTTCTGATGTGGTTTGGATTAACTTCGGTATCAATTAGATAAAACATTGTATATGTTATAACCCAAGCTGCCTTTTCTATTTCATACCCACTCTCATGTTATTTACTGCGCTAAACGAAGTGAAATGGAAGGGAATTGATGACATGGGAGCTACCCAAAGGATGTGGAAAAACTTACAGAGATCTGAGACCGGTCAGAACTGCGAATTGTAGGCCAACTATTCGTCCTTATGTGAATTTGGTGCCTACTTTCAATAGTGGGACCAATTTTATTACTTAGGGCTTAATATCTGATTTATCTTTTCATTTTTTCATGTGTTTTGTATCGGGACCATCGTCAATGTCTCCTCTTCCCTTCCAAAGTTGTATCCCAGGGTTCTAGGTGGTGCTTCAGTTGTTTCTTGGTCAGGTGATATTTATCCTTTTCAACTCCTCCACATTCTTTATTGTCCCGCACTCCTCATTGCAGGAACTTCAACAACAACTATTTGTTTTTTTTCTTGTAGTCTGCCCAACCATTATTCTCACTGCCCCATCCTAGGATAGCCCTCCTTTAACTATTTGTTTTTTTTCTTGTAGTCTGCCCAACCATTATTCTCACTGCCCCATCCTAGGATAGCCCTCCTTTGGCTATCCAATAGTCCTCTTAACCCATCGCAGTTCTAGCCATCCATCCTCGCTACAATCGTTGTTCCAACCCTTCCCATTTGTTGTCAACGTTGTTCCAACCTCCATGTCCGTTGCCATTGTTGTTCCAGCCCCCATCTTCATTGCCACTGTTGTTCCTACCCTCCTTTGTTTTCATCATCCCAGATAGTGTTGGCATGCCGAT